AGTGCAAGTAAAGTTTAAAATAAGTTTGAACTTAGTCTAGAACTAGCTAGAACATTCGATATTAAAATTACAGAACCTCTGAAACAGTAAAGAGAAGCAAGCTAATTAAACATTGCGTAAGAATTCTTTCAAGCTACATTCTCTTCATAGTTGTAGCGTTGTTATGCAACATATTTAACTTCAAATAACGCAAACAAATTCAATAGCAGTTGCTAACCAACTTTGTTAATGACTGTTTTAAGGCTAGCAAACTTTCCTAACAAAATGAGCAGATATATGTTCATCTTACTTAATGACATTTGAGAGTCAAATTAAAACCACAGTGCACATGACTAGTTTTCGATGCGAGTGAGGATCTGGTACGTAGGAACATTAGAAGAAAGTGCTTTAATGAGTGTGTCTCAGCAAATTCACAGATAATTACCTCAAGCCTCATCAGGCAGTCAAATGAATGTAAATTCACAAGAGAGAGATAGATCAATACACTTCTTTTCTTATCAGCTTCTTACGCTTCAGTGAGAAAGTTTTCGTTAATTGTGGTAATCGTGTTAAATAATATTTCAATTAAATTATTACATATGACACTTCGTGATACTGTTAATTAGACGCTGTTAGGATTTTAAATTATGTAGTAATAATATAGATAATTCTACATAAAACATGTGTAAGATATTTATTTTAGATTTAATTAAGAACTTCTTATTTTTAGATTTCTTGCTGTGATTTCTCAGTTTCCGCAGAGTTATCACTCACTTCACGAACTTGCGATTGGACAAGGAAGGGATGGTTTGGTTTATTGACATTCCGACAAAGCACGCTAGGGTTATCTGCCTAATAAAAGGGATGCCTTCGTAGAGGACCTTCTAAGGGAAACTGGCTCTTGGGGAAAACCCACGTAAACGCCCATGCAGCCACCCTGTTTCCCTGGAATCGAACCCAGATCAGAACTACCAGTGTTCAATGACTTTACCACTTGGCCGCTGGTGGCCTAGGCAAGGAGGAAAATAGTAGATAACTAGCAGTTAGGATTTAGCTTTTATCATTTAACTGGGTATTCAAGAGCCTTGTTAATTGTTTTTGCGCAGAAATAAATGCAGGTATGGTCAAAATTCAGCTGCTGGTTTGGTAGCTTTCGATTAGCAGGTCAGCAGCTAATCAGAATTTAAATAACTTAACTCCTTCTTCAAGATAAATAGTTTGTAAAATTTAAACTTCTCCATAATTGATTTTTGCTAATAAATTCAAGCCTAAGCTTTTACTTATCAGCAAAAAGCAGAGTACTTGATTAGCAGATATCTTTATGTTAAAATACATGAGTTATTAAAAAGATATAATTATTGCTTACTTAAGATACAATAACACGCCGACAAATATTAATTCAGAAGTCAACCAACAAAATACTTTACCGCGTTATACTTTCAAATTTTCACAGGACTAGTTTCGATGGTTTTACCGAACCATCATCCTCAGCAGCAAAAGCGCAAATGTACATTTTCATTTGCGCTTACTTATATATTGCTTACTTATTTTTGATTGCTTTGATGATTATGTCTTAAACTTTGCTTTATTATTGATTGCATGCTTAATTGATCAGGATAAATGACAGGACAGTTATCGCCTTAGAAGTGATACGTTCGTGAAGAAAGTTGGGAGGAAATGCTTCATATTCTGTCCAAGCATAGCAAAAACCATGCAAGACTGCGTCAGCTCGTTCTCCCATAAACAAAAACAAAGGTGATCTCAGGTGGTTTGGTTTGCTTTGTTTGATTATAGCAAAGCACTAGAGGGCTTTTTGTCTAAAAGAAGTGAAGCCTTCGTGGAGCACATTATGAGGGAAAGTATCTCGTATGCACGTTACACATGGGAAAAACCACAAAGAGCCCATGCAGACAGCCCATTCGCCGGAATGCGAATCCCGGACCAGACTACCGTGTTCAGTGACTTTACCGCTTGACAGCTGTGGCTAACCGGGGCTTCAGAGGACGCGTAAAAGTTGTATTTTACTAGATGATATTTAGTTATAGAGTCATTGGGATTTTTGAAGTAGGAAACAAAACAAAATGTGCAATGCTGTCGCCAGGACTCTAACCTGGACCTCTCGAATACGCGCCGAGTGCGCTACCATTACGCTACGAAGCCATGCAGAAAGGTGGGAGGAAACACCTTATGTATCCCCTCTTTTAGAGAGCAACTGTGGATTAGGGGACCCAATTCCCAAATTCTAATGATGAAGAATCATCATTCACCACCTTTTATTTCGGGCGTCATTATAGAGCCATTAGGTTGTTTTTGAAGTAGGAAAGATGAAAAATGAACAATACTCTCACCGGGACTTGCTTTCACTAAACCGACTATGAAACAAATTTTCTTGCAAAATCTCTTATTCATGTCAAATCAGTATATGAACTTCAATTTCTGACACATTTTCTAAACAATGATCCAAATTATTCGTTTTTGAAAATCTACTTCGTTTCATTCATTTAGGAAGCTGAAATTAGAGATGTCCCTAGGTGTTGTAATGATGCGTCTAGCACTAGTCGTTCAAGAAATTACTTAGATGTAAAATACTTTTAAACCTACTCTGAAAAAAATTGCTACGCTCATCATACTACTCTGAAAAAATGGTTCAGGAAGTTTATAGACTTTCCAATTATTTAAAGCTTTGCAAAGTATATGTAGATCTGTATTTCAGTCATGTATTTTACTGACTTATTTATACTCTCATGATGGTATAAATACACTGAAGGGATGGAAATTAGTGACAAAAGTGCTGAAGGAAAGTTAAAATTTCCAACTGTCTTAAAATGCCTACGTTAATATTAAATTTTTGTTACTCTCATGTTGAAAATGTTACGGATTTCCCATGAGAAAAAGTGCCTTACATTTATTTCCTCCGTTGCATTAAAGTTTTGAAGATAATGCGCCCCTTGAAATTATTTAATTTTTTACGCCACATTCTTTGAGTTTTTCTTGGGTCTTTGCCAATTTTTTGCCAGGAAACATCTCTAAATTTTGCATAAAGTACCTTATTTTCATCACACGTTCCTTCGTATATGCTGCTTTTATGTGGAATCTTACACACATATTTTGTGGCTCCTCCTCATAACGCGATGATGGGAAATGGGAAGGGGAAATATAATGTGTTGTAACATATGATAGATGATTTTCATTTTCTGTTTTCCAAATAGAATATCATCAAAAATGCTATTTTTATTAACGTTATAATATGCGATATCTAAAATTAAAGACAATTTTCTTTCTAAAATTTTTAAAAGCCAGTTTTAATTATAAGAGAAATAGAAGCACCAGTCTTGGATGCAAAACAAGACTAATCAAATTTGCCTTTCACTAGTTTCTCAACAGGTTTTGGTTTGGTATATTTAAATTATGGTATAGCACTCGAAGACTAGCTGCCTAACGGGTAAACACGTTACACACGGGGTAAACACGTTACACATGGGGAACACCACGAAAACGCTTATAGAGCTGCCCCGTTTGATGGGATTCAAGCCTCAGACCGAACTGTTCTGCGATTTTACCGCTCTGTGGCTGGCGAGACAAGTTCCTTAATAGAAGAAGGATATATTTAAATTTTGAGCAAATGTTGTTCTGGTTTAAATTGACCAGGGTATGAGTTAGGATGCCTTCTCAAATTCACTAACATTACTCAAATTCCTTATAATGTACAATTTAGCTTTTAAAATATCTCCAAATCGAATAAGTAATATGACAAGACATAATAGCTTAAGGAGAATTATGTTAATAAGCAATTAACATATGTCCATAAAAAATTCTTATAATTGGTTTGATAAAATATCCTTTTAAGTTTTATTTTATTAAACCAGTTATTTTATTATTTTGCCTGGTTTGCACGTTTATTTTCATCAGTTCTCAACTGAAAGCAAATTATATCGTGGTGTGGCGACATTATTTGCGTTAATGAAGCGCCATCTGTGAAACTTTTCGCATGCACTTTTCTTTTCGCCAGAGTGGCAACACTAAGTCTTCAAGAAGAAAAAGAGCAATGACTGATTTTCTGTTTGTTTAATTCTATATCGAGAAAACGTAAATAAATATTAATCTTATTGCAGTCAGAACGGTGTGTAACATTTCTTACCTTCTGCACTTCCACACGTGGTATAAATGATGTTTAGGTTCAATCTGGAAGCAAAACACGCATGGTATTTAAATTTAATCTTGAGGAAAACTGTAAATTCAGCTTAGCATATGTTTTGAATAAATATAAAGTAAAGCTGATCAAAATTAATGAGTTTTATTATAACTCTTAATGACAATCATCTATTTTTCTCCCTAATTTAGGAAGATTCAAGTTTCAATGTTATCAGACAGCGTTTGGCAGCTTCAGAGTTATTGAAGAGCGTTACTTATTTACATTTTTAGCTTGTCGACACAGATTTGCTTGCTCTGCTTCTTCGCAAGTGATAACTCAGAAAGAACTAAAGCTTAAAGTTAAGCCTTCGTTAATGTTATCAGTTGCATTAAACTTGCTTAGAATTCGTGTTGAAAACTCATTATTTTATCCTCAAGTTAGCGGATTTCTAGTGCTGTTAATTTTAGTTTGTTTACCGAGTTAGCTCATTTTTTATTTTTGTTTTTGTTAATACATATTTTTATTTTTTACTTTACTATTGACGTGATATTTGTAGTTCCAAAGTCATACTAGAGGAAATTTCTTCCAACAAATTTTTATTATTACTTAATTAGCCAGTAATTTATATTTAATAGAGCAACCGTATAATCGTTCAACCAATATCAGTACTGAATGTGTAGAAAATAGAATGATAATTTGTAACACTGAAAAATGTAAGAAATTATTTAAAGGTTAACTGTATTTATAAAGCTTCATTGCAATAATAAATGAATAAATGAATTTTATATGTTCTTTAACCTTCAAAGTGACTAGTTAAAAGTTCGGTGCTCTCTTATTAAAAGAGAATTAAAATTATCAAATACGAAATAACGTAATAAATCTGACTTACGATTGACATCCAAGGTGATGGAAACAGAAGCTGGTACCGTTATGTTATTATTAGATGCCTGGCACTGTAGAACAGCCAGTAAATCACTTCGCTTCAATTCCTCTATTTCTAATTCATTCCGAACGGAATTGTCACCAGTGACAAAGGTATAGGAATCGTCCAGAAGTGCGTAGTCTCGCCACCAAGTTACAGCTGGACGAGGTTTACCTAAATTTGTAAAGAAAAGAACTCAGACAAAAAAATCTTCATAAGAGAAACACAGTATTGCCATAATTAGAGAAGAAAATTCAAGTTTAGATTATTATTAGCTTAGAGAAAGTCTATACATTTCAGGTAATCTGATGCTTGATTGTTTTGATGTCTGATGGAATTCTGATTCTTTTGGAATGCAAACAGAATTTCTCTAACATTATTGTGAATCTAAATTCCAGTTGTACTTCATTTAAACTGTTCTAATTTCATATTTATGCAGTTTGAATTACTCCAATAACGATCTTTTAATATCGTGATGAACTTTAGGAAATATAATAGCAATTTAAGCAATGAAAACAATTATAAAAAGAAAACCTGAATGCTTTCACAATTCATATTACACCCAAATGGGAATTTTTTCAGCAACACACACATACACGTTTTGAGAGAATTTGGGCTAATGTCCTTTGGGCTAAAAGTATTTAAAAACAGCATATCCATAGATTTTTCGACAGACAGTATCGCGCGATGGAGATGAAATATTTTCCCCATGCACTGTTGCCATTGCTCGCTTTGAAATCGTTGAGTTTCAGATCAAAAGTTCGTTAAAATTTCACAAAATATGAAACAGATAAGAGAACAAATTTCTAGCTTCCAAATTCGGGCTTCTAGGTGCCCATATTCGGGTGGAGGAGTACGTTGTTCAAAATGGGATGGCTCTATGTACCCTTGTTTTTTTTCCATATATACATACAATACACATATTTTCATAAATACATACATTCATACATAATGCAGATTCTTCATTATTTAATTTCTTTAAATATACTGCAAGGCGATAATATTTGGTGGCAACAATTTGAAAAGTGATACACTTGTAAAGTAATCACTTAAGTGATACAATGGTTTTAGTAATTCAAAGCAAAATGACGGTTCGAGATTAATAGGCCTTCTGGGCAAGCAAGCTTTTGGGCAAACAATTTTAGCAATTGATAATTTTCAATGTAACATTTGCAGATACATTAAGTAAATATGTACACTAAAACTTAATAATTAGAAAATTAAATCATAAATATATCGTTCAATTTATAAATGCGCCATTTCCTTAATCAAATAATTTAATTTTATAATTTTCACTGTATGCAAAACTGTATGCATTATTGATGCACATTGATGCATGATTTCTGTTATATTGCACGAATCAGTATACCTATGGATGCTCCATTACACTACGATTAATATTTGTAAGTAACTTTCTGTTAAAATAGATAATGTAGAAAATAAATAATGTTACAGAGATAATAGAGACTTTAAGAGTTTAATTGAGTATGCTGTGCATATGTTTAAAGTTCTAATATATTTTACATTAAAAGTTTTAATTCTATTATATTGCAAATAAAGAAAGGAAATTGATTCAAGGATGCATTAATCAATACTTTATGTTAATATAATTTCAAGGGATTATTTTCGAAGCCTCAAAAATAGGGCTTGCTCTATTCCTTTAGATAAAATTATCATCTTATCAGTAGTCACTGTTCAACGAAGGGAGAGATTTCACCGTTAATAGATACAAGGGACTCCACCGCTCTGAACTCAGGAACATTAATCAAGCTGCACTTAACTCTGATAGATCTGTATTCTTAATTGTAAATAATAGCAATTAGATGCAAATATGGTTAATTTGCCTTTATTCCTTTGACATCCCATTTAGCGATAACTAATTATCGCAATCAGTAATGGATATATAGGGATCGAAACAAAATACATATGAGCTGTAAACTTAATAAAATGTTTGGACTAAATATATAAATAGTAACAAAGCTTCAGTCTCATTTATGATGAGTTTTTAAAATAAACATCCATTTTGTTTTGCTAGAAAATGATATAAATGTCAGATAGGAGAAATTAAAATAGATTAGATTTAAATAAAATATATTTTTCTTAATATTTTATATATATTTAATTGTCTTAATAAGAAATGTAAATAGTACCAAGGAAATACACCTTGTTTCACTGGTAACGCAAACTTTATTTACAAATCTTTCCCCTTTACATGTAACACACTTTACAATTTCTGGTTTCTGTGTGTTTTGTAAAATTTCTTGTTGCTTCTATTTACAGTGTGTGTTCTATAAATACGCAAATTATTTTTGGCACATAGCAATAATTTGGGAAATTTTGACAGTGATTGTTTTCAGTCAATGGTCACAAGTATTGGTAATCATAATTGAAGCTTGCTATCCCATTATACTTGATTCTTCGAAGTTCCTGAAGTACTGTTCGAGTGCTTTGCTGTAATTAAACAAACCAAACTAAAGTACTTAACTAATCTCACTCATGTTCTTTGTGGCTTCAGGACTGGACTCGCATCAATAGGACTTGAATATCAGTTCACTGAATACTAGTTACAAACCAGTATGCATATATTATTTTAGTTTAATTAGAAATTTCTGTTAATTAGTAGATCTTCTTTATTAATTATGTTCTTAGTTAGAAGTTTCTGTGTACATTAAGTTTGCTTTCATTGTAATATTTAGTTCTCATTCATAAAGTTTATTTATTCAGAAAAATATTTCTGAAAGTATTAAGAACATATTAATTTTAAGAAAAAGGATTAAAAAAATTGCGCATCACTTAAATAGAAATTTTAATTACATTTTCTATAACATTTTATTTATTAATTATAGTATATTTATTTTTAGGTCAAAGGGTAATTTTCGCAGAAGGGCTGTTCATTTCATTCTGCATTTTCTGTTGCTTCACTATAAATAGCGTTTCACTATTCATATTGTTGCCACTAAATATTAGAGCCCTGCATTGTATTTAAAGAAATTAAATAATGAAAAATGTGCATAAATAAATGTATGTTCCTCTCACTGTGAAAACGCAACGGTACCTACAGACATTAAATTTTGAATAACGTAGTCCTCCACTCGAATATGTGCATCTCGGAGCCTAAATTTGGAATTTGTTTTATTATTTATTTCACATTTAGTAAAACGTTTTTGATTAACAAACTCAAATTTGAAAGCGAGAAATGGCAACACTGTATGGATAAACATTTTCTCTAAAGCGCGGGAGACTCTGTATCGGCATTTCTAAAGATATACTCTTTTTAAATTACTTTGTGATATTGCTGTTGTACTGAATTTTATAGTTTAAATGCGAAGAAAATGATATTTAATAAATAAGGGTAAAATACGAAACATTGAAAACCTCCTCTTTAGGCGTAATATAAAATCTGAAAGATCTTCAGACTTTTGTTTCATTTATTTAGTTTTGATTAGCGATAAAATTGCATCGAAATTTCAAATTCATGCTTAGAATATCAGAATAAATTTTAACACACAACTGCAAGATTATTCGTGCTATTTAACTTTGTCGGTTACGAAGAGGGGGGGGACTGATACACTTTTCTAACATATTTATCCATTTAAGTCAATATATTACACTGTTCTTTTATAAATACTTATTTTAAAGTAAAGATTTAAGTTTTATTATATATTATACAATGCCTTAGAAGTTTGTTTCTTTTACTCGATTCTCCAAAGACCTTTTCACAATTTTTTAAACTTGTTTCGGTACTTGAGCTTTTCGTTCTATAATTGGAAATCACAACCTTCCCTTTTCCCTCCCTTTCCTAAAATGTAAATAAGTATAAGAAGAAAGATCGAAATCTATTACTTTCGAAATATCTTTTGTCAGCGTTATTTTCGACCCCATTATTTTTAGTGAATTTTAACTTGCTTCCGTGATTTTTGTTTTCGGCTTTAAGTAAAGCATTTTTTGAATTCGAGCTCGAACATTATCTGTTTTGGCGGTTGACGTGGAGCCTTGTATTTAAACATTGTAATAGAATCTATTCTATAACAGTTTAGTTTGCTACAAATATATATAGAAAGAGTTATAAATAAAAGTTGGCGCACATTGTCGAGTATTTGATTGTTAATGCAATCATTATTATACTCTACAAAATATTACCATAAACAGAAATTTATAAAACCTACTGTAATATACATGGCAATGTATTATCCAGTGTCTAACATTAATTAGCTTTTACGCCACTGTATTAAGTACCAAATTTGTATGTATGTTTATGTATTAGTGTATTAGCATAATGACCACGTATGGTTATCTAGATAAAGATAGATAGATAAAGATAATCGCTATACCGATTGGTATTGGTAGAGAGATGGTGCCCACGTCCTCCGTCACATGTCGCATGTAATAAACAAGGGTCTGTAACATGTTATCCCTACTAGCAATTTTTAGAATCATTTAACTATTATTTGGAGTACATTAACATAAAAAAAAATCTACCTTATTTTATTATTAGTCCGAAGGGGCTTTGTCCCTGGAGGACTATTGTTTTAGTTTTGAGATTTTGCGTTGAATCACTATAAATGTCCGTTTCACTTTTCAAACTGTTGCCACCGAATGTTCGAGTCCTGCATTATATTTGAAGAAATTAAATAATGAAAAATCTGCATAAAATGTAGGTATATTTCTCGCATTGCGATAAAACAACGGTACATAGCGTCATCGAATTTTGAATGACGTAATCCTCCTACGAATATGGGCATGTGGAATACCAAATTTGAAATTTGGAATTTGTTTTATTATTGATTTCATATTTTGTAAAACGATAACGAATTTTTATTTACAAACTCAACGATTTCAAAGCGAGCAATAGCAAATCTCTACGGGGGGGGGGGCCATTTTTATCGCCAGCGCGCGAAACTGTGTATCGGAAATTCTAAAGATGTGCTCATTTTAAAATTATTTTACGACATTGCTATGGAACTGAATTTTATGAGTGCAAAAACATGGTATTTAATAAATAAATGTAACACAGGAAACGTTAAAAAAAGGCCAATTTAAAATCTGAAACTTTTCCGATTTTATGCTTTTTAATTTCTTTTCGTCAATTAAGCAGTTTAATTTTATTAGACATATATTTCCTCAATACAGAGTTTATGTATTTCCCTTATTTTTGCCAAAGCACTATGTTCCTG